GATTCCATTGTGATAAGCGCACAAACAGCACTGTCTGTCGGTAACCGGTACTACGAGATTAATGATTTTCTGTTACACTGTATAGTTGTCCTGTGGCACCCCTACCCCATCCATTCCACGCCCTCCCCGCCCCCACCCCAGTGTGTGTAAGCTGGCACCGTGCCAGCTTGTACGAAGCTTGCCGCTCAGCCAGTGAAAATAATAATGTTATTATGAGAAAGTGGACTTATCCGAAATGGAACCATCTGACATTCTATCGTGCTGTACGTAGAATGATGAAGCGTTCCACTGTTGTTATATGTCTTAAATTTATTTAAAACTTTTTTTAATCCAGATGTAGACTATATTCTAAAATAAAGAAAGCAAATGTGTTAACGAAACTCGACAAAAGTTGTTGCTTTTTCATCTGCCCGTGAATGGCCTAGTAGTGAAATAAAAATAAATTCAATTGATTCTTTTTTTTTTTTTTTCAAAAGTCAATTTTATTTCCTCTCTGGTATTTCAGACTGGTGGATAACTGGCTCTGTAAGTACTCAGTTTGGTTTGGGAAGTAGCTACCACAAGATTCACTTCCAAGCTTTTTATTTGTAATTCAGTGCCCCGGAGAGGCCCGTACACCTCAAGAAGTTTATAGATACTCAAAGTATCTGGGAAGGGACATACATTTTTCGACCACCTCGACCAGCTTTTTGCAGTGCTTAATTAGCAGTCTAAACATTTTAAGAAGCCCAAGCACTGACTGAAGTGTTTAAAGGCATATAAACTAATTTCAAAGGCAGAAATTTCACTTGGCTACTGAGAAGTGAAAACTCAGAAAAGAGACACCAGCTAATATTAGTGCACGCACCTTGCAGGTCTTTATTTACAAGACTTTTCATGTGGGTCTTAAGAGATAGTGAAATGTGTTCTAAGTGCGCTGTGGCCTCTTTTCACTAGTTCCCAGGGCAGTGCTAAGTTTTGCTAAGCGGTGCCCAGCAAGGCTTCCAGGTTTTCAGTGAGCTAGCCTGCAGCTGTGGACAGCAGCAGATCCGAGCAAGGCTGCAGCAGGGGCCCCGGGGAACATTTCTTAGATGCCAGTATGATGCTTTCCTGGGATGGTGTTTTGCATTTTCTTTCTTTCTTTGTTTAGGGGGAGTAAGTGTCCGGTCAACTTCAGGTTTTAATCTTGAAGTCGGGAGACATCTCCAAGCTCATAGAGCTTGAATTTAAAATACACAGAATTTTGCAGCACAAACAAAAAAGCAAAATGTTTTCTGTGGTGGGGGCAGCTCAAGTCTATTATCAGCTTTCAGCAGCCGTGAAAAAATGGGGAAGTGTCAAGACCCTGTCAAGACCGGGGTGCTTGCCTTTGCCAGAGAAAGTCAATCATTAATATGTACAGATAAGGGGAACAGCACCCAAGGCAAGGCATACAGCCTCTCGCTTTGTATTCCCTTTAAAATATCAAAGTGCAAGCAGCAAATAACAAAGGAAGGAAACTACAGAAGCCATGTGGTGGAAGGAAACAGCAAGACTTTGGAGTCAGAGAGTGGTGTGTTCAAATCCTCTTGTTACTACTTACTAACTAGGAGTATTTAACCATCCATGCTCGTTGCCATGTTTGAAATGAGGGATAATAGTAACTACAATGCTTATTTTGTGGGATTGCAGTGAGGATCACATAAGATGATCTGTTGAATGCCTGACGCCTCGAAGTGTCTTTAGGCACTGCTGAAGGGGGGCTTCCAGGTTTCTCTCTTGCTCTAAATGTTGGTTCATGTCTCCCTTGCCTCTCTCCAGCAGTATGTGAAGAAGGGAGAGCATAATTTGCGTTACATCCCTAAAACAGCAGGTCACTCTTTCCTTTCTCAAAGTCTCGAGGGAGAACCTGAATTCGAAGCAAAAAGGCATAGCTTGGGCAGATAATTCGCAGAAATTTTAGGAGATGCTAACTGCAAGTTGTTTCAGAATGTTCTTGTGGTATATAGAACACAGGTAACAAAACCAAAGAGGATTGGGTTTTTTTGTGTGAACCCGTAAGGTTTCCCAGGCCTAATAACTACCAGCCCACTGATAATAACTACTGTTTTATTCAAGATTAGTTGATGAGACAGAACAAGGCCAAATCTCCCACAGATTGACCCGGTAAAACTCAAGAAATTTAACATTAAAAAAATTTTTTTTTAATGTTTACTTTTTGAGAGGGAGAGAGAGACAGAGAGAGAGAGACAGAGAGAGAAAAGAAGACAGAGCACGAAGCGGGGGAGGGGCACAGAGAGAGAGAGCGCCTGCGCGTCTGCGCACGCACTCACTCACGCACGCACGCACGCACGCACGCACGCACTCACGCACTCACGCACTCACGCACTCACGCACTCACGCACTCACGCACTCACGCACTCACGCACTCACGCACTCACGCACTCACGCAAGTGGGGCGAGGCGTAGAGAGGGAGGGAGACAGGATCCGAAGCAGGTTCCAGGCTCTGAGCTGTCAGCTCAGAGCCCGACAGGGGGCTCAAACCCACCAACTGTGAGATCAGGACCTGAACTGAAGTCAGAGGCTTAACCGACCGACCGTGGCACCCGGGCGCCCCAATTTCTCGCGCTATTTAAATTCGGCTTACGTTCGGAGGTAAACTGAGAGAGTGACTTGATTTTCAGAAGGTCTTTCCTGAGGAGGATCAAAGGACTTGACAGATTTTTCAAGTCGCAGATACCGCGGGGCAGCGCCCTCAGAGAGATCACGGATGTCTGACGGCGCCCTTCTCCCTGGCAGTTGGTGGCCAAAGGGAAGGCACAGGTAGATGAAGCAGGCAAAATGGAACAGCTCAGATTACAATCGATTACCTTCCAGATGGTTACATTTGATGAGATGTTCTACATCAAAACTGCACACCAAAGCCTTTGAGAAGGCCTGCTTTTGCTGCTGAAAAATAGCTTTCTGCTTTGCTCATGTGGGGTGTGTCGTGTTTTACGTTTACACGGTGTTCCTTAGGGGTCTGGCCTAATCTACTCTTTCTCTGAGCCTGAACCCGATTGTGAGAAAGCAGCTGGGGTTATGATTGTTGGGACCAGCTTGAAAATTCGCCCCGGGGTCAACAATTTTTTCAAAAACAAAAGTTGTTGTCGTTTGTGCATGCCTCATAGTCTCCCCTTAGTTTTACTTGCTGAGCAAAATTCATGTGGGCAATAGGGTCTCCCCTCCTTCTCCCCCCTGCCTTCTCCCCGTGCCCTCTAGTTCTTGTTGCAAATTGGACACAGTGCTGGTGGATTGAGGGCTCAAATCTTACATACCTTGATTTTTTATTTTTATTTGTAATTTTTCAATGCTTTATTTTTGTCACACACACACACACACAGAGTGGGAGTGGGGGAGAGGCAGAGAGAGAGAGAGGGAGACAGAGAATCTGAAGCTGGCTCCAGGCTCTGAGCCATCCGCAGGGCCCCATGTGGGACTCCAACCCATAAACCATGAGATCATAACCTGAGCAAAGTCGGATGCTCAACCGACCCAGCCCCTACGTACTTTTTTTTTTTTAAAGGTAACTATCTTTTTATGGGACATCTAGTACATGGATGCCAATCATTACGTCCTTGTGCGATTTATTTTGACGAGTTTTGAATGAAATAGTGACAGAAGGAATGTTTTCCCTAAATTTTAGGGGCAATTTTTACCCCCAACAGATTAAAAAAAAAAAAACAAAAAACAAAACTGGACCAGAAGCTCATGAAGACTTGAAACATGTGGACTATTGGATTGGTCTCTTAAAATTAATGATTAATCTTTTTAAAATTTCAAACTTTATGTAGTTTCTGATCAAGGCTAAATTGCTTTAATTAGCAAAATAATTTAAACTTAAAGTTATTTGCTTTTGCTTTTAAGATTGGGTCTGATTTTTTTGTTGTTGTTTTTAGTAACTCAGGGAAATTTAGACGTTGTTCTTGAGTTACTGTAAACACCTTATTATGTCTCTAGTTAGTTCATTTGGAACTGTGTAGAACTTTCTGGTGAGTGGTGGAGATAATGATAGTGTATTGCCAGTAACCATTTCTGTATCTAGAAGCCAATACCATCCTTTGTCTCATGCAACCGGGGCTCCTTCCCTGGGTCCCCCCATGCTGATCTCTGTAAGGCCTTGTGACTCCCCTTAGAGCCAAGGAATGCCCAGAGCTTGTGTGCCCCTATATCTAGACCACACTTAGGTACCTGGGTCCCCAGAGTTCCTCATCCACATGGCCCTGAGCCCAATCCAGGGACCTCCTAGACACTTGCCCTGAGTTTATTCTCCTGATGGTGGACATGCTTAGATGGTGAATGGGGCTTGGATGCAAACTGGGTGGTCCAAGGATGGAGCTGGAGGGGGGAAAGATAAGGGGATGGAGTGGAGATTGGAGGTCCCCCCTGGGTTTCAGGATGGACAAAGGGTTTGAAAGCCTACAGAAAGGAAATACGACGTGAAAGCAGCTCAAGCCTTAAAATCTCCTCCAGTATTGGCAACTGAGGATCCTAGGGTTTTTCTCCATGTTTCCCACATTCCTCAGGAGTCTCCCTGCTCCATTGAAAGAATGTTATTTAATTAATGAAATGTTGGTTAAGGAAGAGGAAAACCACATCTGTACACAGAGCTTTTCCAGCTGCTTGCTATTCAGGGCTTGAATGGCGCTGATTATAGCAAATACCCAAACTGATACGCCTTCCATACAAACCATGAAGATTTCGCCTCCTCAAATTTTCTTTCATCTGTTGTTGTTGTTGTTGTTGTTGTTGTTGTTAATTACTGCGTTAGCTGTTTTCTCCTTAGTGTCAAAAGTCTTGGTCAAGTTAAAGCAGAAAACTGATAGTTGCGCATCTGTCTAAACAAGGCCCACTGAAACCACAACTGTCTCATCAGCCCTTCCTGTTTTGGCATTCTCTGTATTAAGGAGAATGTTTTGTTTTGTTTTGTTTTGTTTTGTTTTGTTTTTTGTACCTTCCCATTCTTTTTCTTTTATTTGATTACTTCTTCGTCTATTGTTTCAGAATGCTTTGCCTAGCAGTTCTAAAATACATCTGCCGGTGTGCCCTACTTCAGTAAGCCCAAACTGGTAAGAATTTTGATTGGAGAAAGTTTTTTTTTTAATCATTTAGTTAAGACCAGGGTGATAGAAGGCAACTTTCTGTCTGACCTTGAATTGTCTGGAGAAAGTGCTTTCCAGCATAATAGATAAGACTGCAAAAATACTCGCAAAACATGGAGCCCAGTTCTTTATTTTAGCTAAATAAACAATGTTGGGGGTGGGGTGTTTCCTATCCTCTGTTTTACTCTTCAATACCCGCCTTACTAGTGTTGATATGTGCACTTTTATCAACGAACGTTCGGTTAACAGGATGAAACCGAACATGATTCATTTGATGTTTTCAAAGGTAGAAACTAACTTTGTAGTTTTTTTTTTTTTTTTTACCTTTTGAATACCACACTGCTGAGGTAAAGAATGTTGTAGCTTGTGGGTGAGCTCAATAGGGCCAATTAAAACCTCACTACTCTTCCACCATGTTGAAATACCTGACAGAACTTGCTGTGTCCTTGGATAATGGCATTTTTTTTTTTTTTTTCCTTCTTAGCAGACATCTAATTGAGGAGATTTCCTGTTTGGTAGTCAAGCAAAGATGAAAACGAAAGTGCCACATTGTTGGTTGTGACCAAGGTATTTAAAATGTTCCAGTTGTTCACAATGGGATAATCATTTTAAGCCCCGCTTTTTTTTTTTTTAATGAAACATATGCGTTGTGAAAGAACTCGTGTATACGATAGCAGCCAAGCTATGTGTAGAATGCGCAGGGTAGTTAGCATACTGTGGTCATTCAAAACAAGCTGTAGTATTTCGTGACATCTAATTGACATTGCAGCTTGTAACTCATCGGTGCTTTGAGGGTATAATTTAGTTTCTGTTGTGATAAGTACTTGCTGACAGTTCCTTCATAGCTTAAATGTTTGGAGGGAGAGTGCCAGAAATTTAGATGTTTCACCCAAGTGTTGGGGGCTGGGAGGGATCTCAACACCAGCCGCCCTTTCTAACCAGTGGGTTTGAAAGCAGAGGAAAAGGCCTACTCCCTGGAGCCAGTTTAGTCTCAAGTAGAAACAGGGAGGTGCCAAGACAAGCCTGCCGAATTGCGTCTTTCCAAATTTACCAGATGTCACCGCACCGTCCCTGGGTCAACGTGATAAGGGCAGTGATGGAGAAAGGCAGTGTGTGTTTTGGGACACTCCCACCCATTGGAAGCCTGAGGAGTGGGGAAACAATCCTTCTCCTTTTTAAATTTATTTTTATTTTTTATTTTTATTTGTTTTTATTTATTTATTGTTTTTAAAGATTTAAATTTTATTTATTCATTTTGAGAGAGAGAATGCGAGCAGGGAAGGGGCAGAGAGAGAGAGAGAGAGAGAGAGAGAGAAAGAGAATCAGAATTGTAAGCATGATCTCCAAGGTCCACGCAGAGCCCAATGTGGGACTCGAACTCACGAACCATGAGATCATGACCTGAGCCGAAATCAAGAGTCAGACACTTAACCGACTGAACCACCCAGGTGCCCCTCGTTTTCTTTTGGTAGCAGATTGGTACCTTTTTCGCTGACTAGAAAGGCAGCAAATATTAGGTTGAAGCATATGAAATTGTCATTTTTGCCGGCGCAAAATGGTCAGATGATCCCCGATTTGAGCAATGAGATGCCCCTCTGTGGATGTTCTGTAGCCCTTTCCTATCACCTTAGGAAACTATTGTTTGCAAACTCAGGGTTGGCCTGATTTCCATCTAGAAGGAGTGGGTGACCAAAAAAAAGGGGGCGGTCAAGGGGGACAATTGTATAAGGGAGACAAATAGAATAAAAGAAAGAGGAGACTTGAAGAGAAGAAATGAAAAAGTGGCAGAGAAGCTGTGGCACACTGTGTTTTCTAAAAAAGGTTGCAAAGTTATTTCTGGCCCTGAATGCTCTTCCACAGCCTTGCCACCTTCCAGCAAGAGGTAGAATCTCCCTTTCCTCACCCTGAATTTAGGGGGAGCTCTGCCGCTGCCTTGATCAAATAGACGTGGCCATCACTTCCAAGGCCAGGCCATAAAGGGCGATACATACTCCTCTTGTGTGAGATCCATGGCTGTCTCTTGAGACGCTCGCCCTTGGAGCCTAGCTGCAGTGCTGTGAGGAAGCCCAGACCACGTGGAGAGGTCACCTGTAGGTGTTCCAGCTGACAGCCTCACTGAGGTCACAGCCAGCAGCCAGCATTTCACTGCCGACCATATGAGCAACACTTTGATTGGTTCTAGCCCCCAGCCTTCCAGCCACTCCAGCTGATGGCAAGTGGAGCAGAGACAAGCTGTCCCTATCAAGCCCTGTCCAAATGCCAAATTTCAGACTTGCATTGCAAAATATTTTCTTTTTTTTAATATGTTTTTATTTATTTTGGAGAGAGAGAGAGAAACAGAGCATGAGCAGGGGAGGAGCAGGGAGAGAGGGAGACACAGAATCTGAAGCAGGCAACAGGCTCTGAGCTGTCAGCACAGAGCCCGACTCAGGGCTCGAACCCGTGAACTGTGAGATCATGACCTGAGCCGAAGTTGGATACTTAACCGACTGAGCCACTCAGGCGCCCCGTGTTGCAAAATATTTTCATTCTCCGAAGCCACTAAGTGGTGTGTTACACAGCAATGGATCTCTGGAACTCCAAATTTTAGGACATTGTAGAACTAGGTGCAAACACTTGAAAATAGAATGTAATTCTGTAGGACGGGGTTGATTTTATCACATTTGCCTGCATAGCAGCTTCTAACACACCTTGAACCTTTGGAAACATTCACCTGATGGCTGATGTGGAGAAGGGTTCAAAGTGACATTTTACAGTGAAAGTTCAGCTTGGTGGGCAGAGTGATGGTCCCCCAAAGATGTTTGTGACCTAGTCATCCAAACCTGTGAATGGATCTCCTCACATGGCAAGGGGTAATGAAGGTTGCAGCTGGACTGAAGGCTCCTAATCGCCTGATGGAGCGATGGAGAAATTATCCTGGATTATCCAGATGGGCCCAATGTAATCACGACAGTCTTTAAAAAGGGAAGCAGGAGGGGGCGCCTGGGTGGCTCAGTCAGTCAAGCGTCTGACTTCGGCCCAGGGCATGAGCTCATGGTTTGTGAGTTCGAGCCCCACACCCAGCTCTGTGCTGACAGCTCAAAGCCCGGACCCTGCTTCGGATCCCATGTCTCCCTCTCTTTGCCCCCCCCCCACCCCCACCTCTTGCACTCTCTCTCTCAAAAATGAATAAAAAATTAAAAAAAAATGGAAGTAGGAGGCCAAAGTGTCCAAGGGTCAGAGTGACACAGCACGAGGAAGTCACGATTTGCCCTTGTCAACTTTAAAGATGGACAAAGGGGTCATGAGCCAAAAAGTGTTAGGCAACCTTTAGAAGCTGGAAAAGGCAAGGAAACAGATCATCCCTAGAGCTTCCAGAAAGCACACAACCCTTCAAACACCCCAGTTTTAGCCCAGCGAGCCCTGTAGACTTCTGACTTCCAGAACTGTAACATGATAATTTTGCATTGTCTCAAGCCCCTAAGTTTGTGAGAATTTGTTCCAGGAGCAATAGGAAACGGAAACACCCGGCCTCGAGCATGTGGCCAGAAAACAAACAGGTTAGATTCTTGACACTTAATCCATTCGCTGCCTTGGGCTGGCTGGAATATAGAATTTCGAGCACAACAACTTGTTGAGAACAGAATTGAAAGGTCCTTTTTGCCTTCTTTTGTGAAAGAGACTTTATTTTTCTTTTCAGCTCTAACCTTGGTGACAGTAGCCCTGAATAAATAGACACTAGTTGTGGGCGTGGCCACCGTAGAACTAGAAGGGCTTACTTCAAATATAGTGGCGGTCTTTATTATGGATTTTTTGGTTAAGATCTTGCGCTCCCTCTCTCCCCATTTTTATTTGTTTCTCACTTCTTTCCCTTCTAAAGCTATTTTCTGACATGTCTGTGTAGCATTCATTTCTGCAGCCCCACACGTCTTTATTAGTTTTGTTTTTTATTGAGAGAATTGGCATGCGATGAAATCTACCGATCGTAAGCACGTAGTTTGAGTTTTGACAAGTGCACACACTGATGTAACTGGCACCTCACTAAAGGTACACAGAGTTCCCATCACCCTACAATGTTCCCCGTGCTCCTTTCTGACCCCATCTCCCCTAAGACCCAAGCAATCACTATGCTGATTTCTATCCTGATATGTAATGTGGCCTGTTTTTGAACTTCATATAAATTGAATCACACAATATTATATGATTGGTGATCTTTGGGGTCTGGCTTCTCTCATTCAATGTAATATTTCTGAGATTCACCCACACTCCTGCATAAGTCAGTAAGTGGTTCACTCCTTTTTATGGCTGAGTAGTGTTCTATCTTATAAATGTCCACACTATGTTCATCTGTTTTCCTGTGAATGGATATTTAGGTTGGTTCCATTTTTTAACTTATTTAATTTAGCTTTTATTAATAAAGTTATAAAGAACATTCTAGTTGAAGCCCTTTTTTTGATAAATGCATAGGAATGGGATTGCTAGTTCATAAGATAGATATATGTTTAACTTTATTTTTTTAATGTTTATTCATTTTTGAGAGAGAGAGAGACAGACAGAGTGTGAGTGGTGTAGGGGCAGAGAGAGAGGGAGACGCAGATTCCAAAGTAGGCTCCAGGAGGCTCCGGGCTGTCAGCAGAGTCCGACATGGGGCTAGAACTCATGAACTGTGAGATCACGACCTGAGCTGAAGTTGGACGCTTAACTAACTGAGCCACCCGGGCCCCCCAATTTTTTTCAAGTTTCCTTATTTATTTTGAGAGAAAGAGACAGAGAGTGAGGTAGAGGCAGAGAGAGAGAAGGAGACTGAGAATTCCCAGCAGGTTCTGCGCCATCAGTGTAGAGCCCGATGTGGGGCTCAAACTCATGAACCGTGAGATCATGACCTGAGCTGAGATCAAGAGTCGAACACTTAACTGACGGAGCCATCCAGGCGCCCCCAGTATATGGTTAACTTCATAAGAAACTGCCAAAGAGTTTTCCACAGTGGTTCTACCATTTACCTCCTCGCCAGCAATGAATGAGAGATCCTTTTGTGCGGCCCCTTTTGATTAGCCATGTCTTCACACTGGCTCCTAGTATTCCCGGTTCTGACTGAAGGATGACAAATTAGTGCCGGGGTAGAGTATAAAAGATTCCCGAAGGAGAGAAGCATATTAAATGGTGTCTTGGTGAACATGAGGGTCATAGTAAGAGACATGGTATGGTTAGGTGAAGCAGAAAGAGAGGTGGTACCAGGAGTGAAAGAAAACCAGGATTCAGAGTCCCAAGAATCTGGATTTAGCCCCAGTTCCACCAGTTCATTCTGTCTTTCCTGGGGGTGGGGGGACGGGGCTTAATTAGCTTCTTGGAATCTTGGAGTCCTTCTCCTTTTGCAAACTGGGGTTAATATCTCCCTGGATTAATAGTAATAGCAACGAATTACCACTCGGTGCACACTTAGTGCACACTTTTTTCTTCAAAGGAAGAAGGAAGTCATTACTACTATCACTAGTGCAAACCTCATGCATTATCTCATGTTTCTCCTCACAAGGGCCCTATGAAGTAGGTATTACTATTATTCTCATTTTACAGAAGAGTAGATTGTCTTC